CAACTCACGATGGAGAAACTAAATGGAAAATACTTCCTTGAATGGGCTCAATCCATCAAGCTAGTAATCGACGGAAAGGGGAAATTGGGTTACCTCACTGGCGAGACGAAGAAGCCAGCATCAACCGACGTTGTCGCTCTGCAGAAGTGGAAATCCGAGAACTTAATGGTGACAGCTTGGCTTGTTAATTCCATGAAGCCCTCTATCGGAAAGACGTACCTATTTCTGCCGACAGCGAAGGACGTCTGGGATGCAGTTCGTGAGACATATTCTGAAGCAGAAAACTCATCTCAAATCTTTGAAAGCAAGACTCAGTTATGGCAGATGAAACAGGGAGATAAGGATGTCACTGATTATTAGATGGAGATGGCAGCCCTTTGGCAAGAACTTGATCTAAGTGTTGAAGAAGAATGGGAATGCACCGGAGATAGTGTCAGGTACAAAAAGAAACTCAAAAATGAGAGAGTTTATGAATTCCTTGCTGGGCTCAATCGAGATTTGGACGAGGTAAGAGGGAGAATCCTCGAACGACATCCTCTACCATCAACACGTGAGGTTTTCTCCGAAGTCAGACGTGAAATAAATCGGAGGAAGGTGATGTTGAAAGAAGAAACAACTACTAGGCCTAATGGGCCTACTGGACCTAAAGTATCCGCCCTGATTACTCGAGGTACAACTATTGGGTCAGGTCAAAATCAGCAGAGAAGACGCCCCTGGTGTGATCATTGCCGTAAGACCGGACACACAAAAGACATTTGCTGAGAGATATACGGGAAACCAACTGATTGGAAATCGAGGCAGAAAAATCATTATTACCAAACCACCATTGAACACAAGGGAGAGAAACTTCAGGAGGTCAACAGCAGCAATTCCTCTTCAAGCAATGCATTTAATTCTGAATAGCTGGAACTCTATAAAATTTTCTCTAGCTTCCAAACATCCGGTCAGTCTTCCTCCAACACAAACACTCCCTCTAGATCACTAGCCCACAAAGGTAATTTTTTTAGAGCCTTAAGTACCACCTCTCGAACTAAAACTCCTTAGATCATTGACTATGGTGCTTCTGATTACATGGCTGATTCTTCTCACCTTTTTTCTTCATACTCACCTTGTGTTGGCAATCTTAAGGTTAAAATTGCAGATGGTTCACTCTCATCTGTTGCAGGAAAAGGGAGTATTCGAATTTCTGATTCTATAACCTTAGGGCCCGTTTAGTTCGCTGATTCGAGTTAAGATGTGATTTTATGTGAGAGCTTTTTACTGTAGCAAAAAAGTTAAATGTGATTGTTTCTGAGAGCTTTTTACTGTAGCAAAACTCGAATCGGTGAAATAAACGAGGCCTTAGAGTCTGTCCTTCATGTTCCAAACTTGTCCTGCAATTTGTTATCCATTAGCCAACTGACTAAAAACTCGAACCGTTCTGCTAAATTCTTTTCCTCTCATTGTGTTTTTCAGGACCTATCATCGGGGACGACAATTGGCAGTGCTAAGGAATGTGATGGACTATACTACTTTGAGGAAGCCAAAGTGAGTGAACAACATCAAATTGCAATCTATGATTCTACATATGTATCTAGGAATAGTGAAATTGGGTTATGGCATTTTAGGATGGGCCATCCAAATTTTCAATATTTGAAACGTCTACTACCTACCATTTTCTTGAATAAAAAGCCCTCTAATTTTCAATGTGAGATATGTGACCTAGTGAAACATCAACGTACTTCATTTCCAAAGTCAAAAAATAAACCCTACAAACCATTTAGCATGATTCACAGTGATTTGTGGAGACCATCTCGGATTCCTAATTGTACTCACACAAAATGGCTTGTTACATTTATTGACGATCATACCCGAGTTTGTTGGGTTTATCTGTTGAAAGAAAAAACTGATGTTCACTCTGTGTTTATCAATTTTCATTCAATGATTCAAACACAATTCCATACACAAATTCAGATTCTAAAAACTGATAATGGCAAAAAGTATTTCAATCATATCTTGGGAGATTATCTTCAAAAAATGAAATAATTCATCAAAGTTCTTGTATTGATACTCCCCAACAAAACGGCCGAACGTAAAAACAAACATCTCCTTGAAGTAGCTCACGCCCTGATGTTTACTACTAATATGCCCAAGATGTTCTAGGGAGATGCCATTTTCACCTCCACCTATCTCATCAATAGAATGCCTAGCCGTGTTGTTTCTTTTGAAACACCTCTCCAAAAATTCCAAAAGATCTTTCCTACCTCTCGGCTCACTTCCAATCTATCCCTCAAAGTGTTTGGTTGTACCGCCATTGTTCATGTCCATTCTCATCATCAAAGTAAACTAGATCCTAGAGCTTTTAAGCTTGTTTTCATCGGGTATTCACCTACTCAAAAAGGATACAAGTGCTATGATCCATCCACAAAAAAATTATTTGTTAGCCTTGATGTCACATTTTTTTAGAACACTTCTTACTTTCAAAAGCCTTCGCTTCAGGGGGAGAATTTGAGTGAAGCTCATTCTTTCCCGGACTTCGATTTCTCTCTATTTGAGCCTGTCCTAAACACTAAAGCTGAGACACCATCTCCTCATACAAACATTGAACCAGCCACGCCATCTCCTCATTCTAATATGCCATTTACAGAAGATAACTTGAACTAGGGGGAGATGTAGGAAAACAGAATGACAAGGAGATACTTGTTTATTTAAGGAAGGCCAAAATCAGGGTATAAAGAGAATCTCACATCCGAGGCACCAAAAGAATCAGAACTGGTGATAGCTCCAAGTATCCACGAGTTTCATTCAAGTAATTATGAGTCTCCCAGCATTGATTTACCTATTGCCCTCTGAAAACAAACTCGTTCGTGTACTCTCCATCCTATCTCGAGATTCATGTCTTATAAAGCTCAATCCACTGGATTTCGTACTTTTACTTCTAACCTTGATAGTACAGAAATTCCAAGAAGTATACAGGAGGCACTGCAAGTGCCCGAATGGAGAGAGGCAGTAATGGAAGAAATGCGGGCCCTAGAAAAAAATGAGACTTGGGATGTGGTGGACCTATCGAGAGGAAAGAAACCAGTTGGCTACAAATGGGTTTTCACTGTGAAGAATAAAGCAGATCGAACGATAGAACGCTACAAGGCCCATATTGTTGCAAAAGGATATACACCAACCTATGGCATCGACTACACGAAGACTTTGGAACCTGTAGCAAAGCTGAATACAGCTCGGATTCTCTTATCTTTAGCTGTAAATTTGGACTGGTCTCTTCAACAACTTGACATTAAGAATGCCTTTCTAAATGGCAAATTAGAAGAGGAAGTATTCATAACTATACCACCAGGATTCTGCAAAAGGAGTGAAGAAAACCGGGTATTTAAACTGAAAAAGTCTTTATATGGTCTCAAACAGTCACCAAGGGCATGGTTCGATAGGTTCGCAAAGGTGATTAAGGGCCAAGGATATCGTCAGGGGCAATCAGATCACGCTTTATTCTCTTCTAACAAGCAGAAGATGGGAAGAAAACAATTCTAATAGTATACACCGATGATATAATCCTAATAGGAGATAATATTGTGGAGATGGAGAGATTAAAGAAAATCCTAGCTTCTGAGTTTGAAGTAAAAGACCTGGGTCAAATGCGATACTTCTTGGGGATGGAAATCGCAAGATCAAAGAGAGGTATTAGTCTCACAACGAAAGTATGTTCTTGACTTTCTTGCTGAAACCGGCATGCTTGGATGCAAACCGAGTAACACACCAATTGAAGCAGGAAGGAAACTAGAAGATGCCGGACCTCCAGTCAAAAAGGACAGATATCAGAGATCAGTTGGCAAACTTATCTACCTATTGCACACTAGACCAGATATTGCATTTGCAGTAAGCGTGGTGAGCCAACACATGCACTCACCAAAGGAAACTCATCTTGAAGTAGTGTACAAAATCTTGAGATACCTCAAGGGCACCCCAGGCAGAGGACTATTCTTCAAGAAAGGAGAAAGCAAGGAAATAAAAGTCTTCACAGATGCTGATTGGCCAGGTTCAACAGAAGACAGGAGATCCACTTCCGGATATTGCAGCTTCGTCTGGGGAAATTTGGTAACTTGGAGTAAGAAACAGAATGTAGTAGCCAGAAGCAGTGCTGAAGCAGAACTCAGAGCGGTCGCACATGGGATGTGTGAAGGACTGTGGTTAAAGAAACTATTGGAAGAACTAAATGTCACAGTAAAGTTTCCAATAAAACTCTACTGTGATAATAAAGCAGCCATTAGTATTTCTCTATATCCAGTTCAACACGACCGAACCAAGTATATAGAAGTGGACAAGCACTTTATCAAGGAGAAGATTGAAGACGAAATCATCTGTATGACCTATGTTCCTACAAAACAACAAATTGTGGACATCTTCACCAAAGGGCTACCTTGGCAAAGTTTCGATGACTTTATTTGCAAGTTGGATATGGTCAATATCTACAATCCAACTTTAGGGGGAGTGTTGGAGTCACAGTTGACCTAGTGTAATTAGTGGCAGAAATTATAGTGGTTTATTGTAAATTAGGTGCTGATTGATTATAGATGAGCTGGCTGATTCACAGTCCTTAATTAGCTCTCAATTTAGGAGATTAGTTTCCTTTTTTGTTTTTCCCTTGTACGATAAATAGGGCTAACAGATTGTACACATTTTTTTCAAGAATAACAGAAATTCATTCTGATTTCATGACATATAAGATTCTTCTAACATTCTAATACAAGTAGACAGCTCTGCTGGGAATAGTTTTGCAATTGCACGGATTCACCAAGTAGGTAACTGACAAAAACCCTCTGATCAAATGCTGATGAGCAATTGCTAATGTCTATGAATTTTCTCTCCTAATTTTAGAGAACAATATAATCATTATAGCCCAATCTATCTTAAGTTAGATAATAAATCAACTATGACCTTGGCTAGACATGAATGCCACAACTTTTTTTTTTTCCTCAAAGCATAAAACCATAACAATAGCAAAAGCAAATTACCAACATCAAAGCTCTTAATGCAGGCAACTAACACATTCTGAATTATGCAGCTGGGACTCAATCCATCACAGCTTTCCTCGCTCACCGATCCCGAGTCAGTTTTCTCTTCCTTCTTCTTCTCTGTTTTGCCATTTTGAGGCTGTGAATTTGAAGTATCTTTATCACTTGGTTGAACCAGCGAGTCTTTGGGCACCGGAGGAACCGGCTTTTCATTACTCGTTTCGTTCCCTGTCTGGGTATCCGATTCCTTTCCTGTACTTGTTTTATTGGCAGGTTTAGGATCCAATTTCTTCTCGTCACTAGTTTGAGTTTCTTTGGCTGGTTTAGAATCCAAATTCTTCTCCGTAGTTGTTCCACTCCCTGGTTTGGTATCCAATTTCGTATCTTTACTTGTTTCAGTAACTGGCTTGGTATCCAATTTCGTTTCTCCATTCACTGGTTTAGGATCCAATTTCGGTTTTTGATCAATTTCATTCACTGAATTCTGATCCAATTCCTTTTCCCCGTCTGTTCTAACTGGTTTTGAATCCAACTTATTTTCCCCGGTCACCGGACCTGAAATCGGCACCGGAGAACCCTAATAATCCATCAAAAAAAATCAACACTTCAAATTAAGAACCAAAAAAAAAAAATCAGATAAAGAAGGAGAAAGAAAGAGAATTACTGGTACTGAATCTTTCGTGACAACAAACTTTCCGAGGTTGAAAAGCAAGGAAGAAGCATCGGAGAAGTCCGAGACGATCAGAAAGAAGAGAAACACAGCCGCGAGTCCATTTCTATCCATTAACGTTGACAACAAATCCGGATCCTGACTTTGGATCCGGTCTCGACCGTGGAAATCGAAACCCTAGGAATCCCTCCGAGTGCCGATCAGGAAAATCTTATTTTCCCGGGAAAATTTACGCAGAGCGCCCAAGAGACGAGAGATAGCTTAGCTATCACGCTGCGAAACGGGAAAGTAGGGAAGAGAATCGCCGAACGCCTAGAAAAAGTCTGGGTTTTTGGGACTCGGAGATGAGAGAGAGACAGAGGAGAATCTGTAGGGATTGGATTTTGGTAACGCAGAAACAGAGTTTTTCGGCGCAAAGTAAAGAGCGGAGCTTCGAAGAGAGAGTCAGAGAGCTTGGCAGTCGGAGTCCAATGGAGATTCATAAACACGTGTCGAATAATAATTTTTAATTTATTATAATATTTTTTTCTTATAAAAAATACACATAAAACGCACTAAAATTGACTTAAATTAAATGTAATTTTAATTTGAATTAAAATGTAATTTTATATAAAATTTTTTATTATAATAAAATAATTTTTTATAAAATTTTTTAATTATAATAAATTTAAAATTTAAAATTTAAATTAATAAAATAAATAAGACATACATATAACAAAACATTAAAAGTACTTACCAAAAAGTAAAAATTATTATTACAATAGTAATTATCATGTAATTTTGTAATTAAATAAGATGATGATCATTATAATACCAATTGTAATAATAATTATCATCTTGTTCACTTGCAATAATATGCATATGGTGCTAAATATACCATTATAATTATCTTTATTAAATTTGTTAAATGTTATATTTAATAAAAATTTTGCCACAAAGACGGTTTCTTTTGAAAGACCGCTCAATCCTAGAAGATGAGCATGGCTGTTTCTTTTGAAAGCAAAAACTTATTTACTATTTTGTGATGGAATAGACCCGTCATTTGATTTGCTATCTCTTAAATCTAATGTTGGATGTGGTAATGAATATGGATATATGGAACTTATAATGAAAAGTTTGTAATCGTGCATGTTAGACCCTTTTTTATTGGAACTTGTAGTGGCAAGTTTCTTGTGGGCATTTTTGTTGCATTATATTGTACAAGAGATTTTTTGACCAAATTGTTTTGCATTCGTATTGTATAGAACGCCTCTTGGTACTATTGCCGAAACAAATCGTTAAAAAAAAACAAAAAACAGAGGAAAAAGAAAAAAAACAACAACAACTTACATGAGAAGTATTATTTATTACATATAGCTACAAATATACAGAATAATATTCTTAAACACATATCACTAAATATACTACTTAAACAACAAAACTATAACAACCAAAAATATTTAAACCATTATATTAAAACTCATTTTTTCAATTTTCGTCTCAATTTTTTTTCGCTCTTCTTCCCAATTAATGCAGCCTTCAACTTAGAGTTGTTAAATGAGCCGGGCCGTCCATGGACGGCCCGCCCTAGCCCGTAACTGTGTTGGATTCAGCATAACCCGGTACGGTACTGTTACGGGTCGTACCGACCCGACATGTTTGATGGGCTAGGGCTAGGCCGCGGCTTCTCAGCCTGCGACCCTAGCCCGTGAAGGCCCATGGCCCGGCCCAAGCCCAATTCGGCTCAAGCCCGGATTCGGCCCTTGTTCGGCCTGGCCTAGGCCCGCAAAACAGCCCACGAAAAAGTTCTCCAGCCTGTTCGGATTGTGACCGTTGGGCCCGCGAAGGGCCCAACGGTCACAATCCGAAAAAACCCAAAAATTCCCTATAAATACCCGTTAATCCCACCCTAAATCCCACACAACAATTCACTCTGAACTTTTCATCTCACTCTCATTCTATCTCTCATCTTGTCTCTTTGATTTTGATTCTAAGCTTTTTTCTCGCGATTACTCATTTTCTTGATCTTTCATTTACAAAGTTTAAGTTAAATCAATTTCTAAAACATGGCCACATCAAACTTGTAATACCCGAGATTTAATTAAGTCTTAAGCCAATAATAAATAAATTTAGTAAATTAAAATCATGCACCACATTTACCATTTATCTCAAAGTTATTTGTTGGCATTATATTTTATTATTATATCTATCATATGATTTTATTAAACTTAGAGCTTGGCTAATCAAGTTTTCAGTTTTAATGTGCAGTGTAAGTAGTGCGATGTGGGAACTTAATGTGTTAAACTTATGAAGAAAAAATGATATTTATTATTATTATTTGATATGATATTTTACCTCTATTATGATTGATTTAATGATGAATTATTATTTTATATTTTATTATATGGTTTTATGTAAATGTGTTAAGGACTTAGTTGTTATTTTGAGTTTTTGTGAGAGAAGGCTACGTTAGCAATTTGAGTGAACTTTACGCACCTGCTTGAAGTAGAAAAATAGAGACTTTAGAGCTGATTTTATGAGGTTGGGAGATCTGTTAGAGGCTTAAAAAAACCTAGACACTTGTCCTACTATAAGGTCACTTTACTTTTGTTTGGTTTCAATCAAGTTTAGACTTCATTTTTTGGTATATTTCAGCAAAAAAACCCTAGAACTTCGACCATAGCACTTTCTTCTCTCTTCTCACTCCTTTTCTCACCCAAAACTCAGAATCAAACCTAGGTTTTCAAGAGAGAATGAGCTAAAAACTCAACCAACCCATTTCAACTCATTTTTCAACCTAGAACCAAAAATAACAATCAAGGTTTTAAGCTTCTATTCACTTGAGAACGAGTTTTTTTTTTTAGGTAACTTCTTTCTTATGTTAGAAATTAAGATTTCAGAGATTAAGATGTTAAAATTCTACTTGAGATTCAGATTTTTGATGTGGCTTATCATGCATGTTGGTTGTAAACCCTTAAAAATGAGTTTCTTGAGGTTTTAGTTTAAATATTGGTTTTTGGGTGAAATTAATGATTCTAGCTCGATATTATTGATGATTATTTGAAGATAAACTCTTATTAGGATGATAATTCATGTATTTGAGAGTAGGCCTTTGAAGATTAAGATCTGCATGCTAGGTATTTGATGAAATGTTCAAATATTCGTCCTTTGTACAGCTTATGTAGATTCTATTTTTGTGCTATATATATTTATGATTTTGACTGATCTTATATTTTTCTACTAAATTATACATCTCAAGATTTACGTGAGTTTTTGAATCACTCAAAACGGATTTTTCTACATTTAGTTATGAATTTTATAAGTTTAGCTAAAAAGTTGTCATTTTCCTCACGGGATTATACTTCAATCCGGACTTCGGGCTATTTTTGTGTCCTGGGGGTGTCCCGGGGGCGCCCCGAGGGTATCCCGGGGGTGTCCCGACGGTGTCCCGGCGGTGTCCCGGGGGTGTCCCGGCAGTGTCCCGAGGGTGTCCCGGGGGTGCTCCAGGAGTGTCCCGTGGGTGTCCCGAGGGTGTCACGGGGGCGTCCCGGGGGTGCCCTGGGTGTGTCCTGAGGGTGTCTCGGGGGTTCCGCGGGTGTGCCCCGGGGGTGTCCGGGGATGCCCCGGGGGTGTCCCGAGTGTGCCCCGAGGGTGTCCTGGGGGTCTCCCGTGGGTGTCTCGGGGGTGTCCTGGGAGCCTTTCGGGGGTGTCTCGGGAGCCTCCAAGGGGTGTCCCGGGGATGCTCTGGGGGTGCCCCATAGGTCTCCCGGAAAAAAAAATTCTGATTGTTAATTAGCTATTTGTTTGAGTTTGAGTCCAACTACTATTGCTTGATTTCGACTCCCACTAGGTTTACAAAACCGATTACGAAAGAGAGAGAGAGAGAGAGAGAGAGAGAGAGAGAGAGAATCGGAGGACTGTGACTTGGAACGGCTATAACTTTTGATACAGAAATCGTTACAGGGCCTATAATATATCAAATCGAAGCTCTTTTTGAGCTCTACAATCACGGCTGGGCATAGCTTCCTAACACCATTTTTTGGGCCAAAATTTACTTGTTTTTCATTAGTTTCAGAGCCCTTACAGTTTGAGTGTCAAAAAAAATCCGTGACAAATTTGAATTCGTTTGGTTTAAGTCTTAACTCGATTGACTACTTGAATCCTTCTTAATTGATTGGATTAGTTTTGAAAGAACTAGAAGAAGAATACGAGTGGTTTGAGTGACTTACTTTCTGAGAGAAACACATTTTAATCATGTCGCAGAATCAGGAGAAAAACATGAGTGAAGAGATTCCACCTACCATTACTCTGAATTTACAAATGCAGGCATTAATAAGAGAGATGAAATGGATAATGAGGGTGGAGCTCGAACACATACATGAGAGGTTAGATAGGATAGAAGAAGGAACCCCACAAAACCAACCACCACCGAATGCTTCAAGGAAGAACATGATGCACCAAAAGGGAGGTTGAGGATAATGATGAATTCGAAGGGGACAATTTAGAGGAGGAGTTGGATAGAATGTCAGTGGGCAGCCATAGGAGATATGGACGGAATAGAGAAGCTAGGAACCAAGCGGATAACAACTCAGGAAGTATTAAGATGAAAATTCCTGCGTTTCAAGGAAAAAGTGACCCGGAAGCATATCTCGAGTGGGAAAAGAAAATGGAGTTAGTTTTCGACTATCACAACTACCCCGAACAAAAGAAGGTAAAACTTGCTACCATTGAATTTACCAATTATGCTATTGTATGGTAGGACCAGTTATGCACCAATAGGACGCAAAACAGAGAACATCCTATCGAAACTTAGGATGAGGTGAAGAGGGTGATGAGGCGATGATTTGTACCAACTCACTACTACTGAGATCTATACCTCAAGCTACAAGGTCTCTATCAAGGTAACTGGAGCGTTGCTGAGTATTTCAAAGAGATGAAGATAGCGATGATTAGAGCCAATATGGAGGAGGATCGGGAGGCGACGATGGCCAGATTTTTTAATGGGTTAAACCGAGAGATTTCTAACACAATCGAGATACACCATTATGTGGAATTGGAGGACTTAGTGCATATGGCAATCAAGGTTGAGAGGCAACTCAAGAGAAGTGGAACACGACCAAAACCAGCCCCTCAAAATCTGAGTGCAACACCTTGGGGGCCAAACTACCCAAAGAAAGAAGAAAACTCGTCCACCTTCAAGGCCAAACCCGAGTACGAACCAACCCCTAATACCACAGCCTTTCAAGGTAAAACAGCCCCTAATTTTACTCGTTCTAGTGAGATTAAATGTTTCAAATGTCAGGGAAGAGGACACATAGCTAGCCAATGTCTAAATAAGTGACTTATGGTGATCCGGGATAATGGAGAAATTGATTTGAAAGATGAAGATGATCTAGAGGATATGCCACCATTGGAGGACGCCCT